GAGCAAATAAACTTAATTAAATATTTATTTCATATGCGTAAGTAATTATCACCATATTTTTTTAATGTATGCAATAATCATTTCTTACGTTAAGATTCATTTCTTTCATAAATATTTGTATGACCGCATATTGAGTATCATTAAAAATCGCGTAATTAAATTCATTAAATATTTTACATGAGTAAATAATTCATATCATATTTTCTATTGCATTTAATATTCATTTCTCAAATAAAAAATGCTATGGAAATTTAGAAAATATTTTGAATAAAAGCAAAAAATATTGAATATATATATTTCAATGCATAAATAATTTTCAACTGAATTTTTATGACCATGAAACATAATTATTTCATCTCAAAGAATTTATGCGATTTACAAACATAATTTATGATAAACATAATTAATTTATGATAAACATTATTCATTACACTAACATTATTCATTTTTATTACACTAACAGTAGAATAGAGTTCTAAAAAGCAACAACTGCTGTAGGAATTGTAAATATTATTCAAGAGCACTTCAGAAATAGCCAAAACAAGCATGGACATGTATGATCTATGCCCTAGAAGGAATAAATAAATAAAAGATCTCCCCATCACGCCACCCAACCCCCACAGTATAACCTTGAAATGTCTAGAATAAGGATTTGTGGGGGGTGAGGGGAAAAAAATACTTGCTCAGCAGGTCCCTCCACCCTAGTCTGGGACATTTTCGAATGCTATTGAATAAGAAAAGACCTGTCCAAAAATTTAAGGTTTCTGTTCCATATGCGCCGTTTTGTTTGCAAACAACAGACAATGCAAAATTCCATATCCATTAATGAAATACTAAATCCATTCCAATCGAATATTCGAATTTTTTTTTTTTACACCAAATAACCTAGTCCACAACTTTATTTCTGCACACTTTAATGAAGAATCAACTGTTCTCTACAAAATAATTAATGGAAAAACTAGAAAAATTACTTATAAATATTAATTTTGTATAACACACTGGTCTAGATCAAAACCCATATATAGATAATACTTTGTGACAAACGTTAAGAATGAATTATTAATTGAGAACTGCCAACATTCTACATTTTTTTTTTTTTTTTTTTTTTTTTTTTTTTTTTTTTTTTTTTNAATTACTTATAAATATTAATTTTGTATAACACACTGGTCTAGATCAAGACCCATATATAGATAATACTTTGTGACAAACGTTTAGAATGAATTATTAATTGAGAACTGCCAACATTCTACACTTTTTTTTTTGGAAAATTGTTTCAAATGGTAGTTTATGCTTTAATGTGTAATTCTTTGTCTTGTAAATATGACTTTATTTTCGGCAACACTACATGTAAATTTTTCATAAGTTCATAGAAAAGTTAGTTCCAGCTCTCTCATGGCGAGGGTTTTAAAATGTTGGCAAAATTACCAAAAAATTCTAAGAGCTTTACTTCTTAACTGTCTACTGCTCGATAAAATATTTTGCCCAAAAAGCTTAGTAGTAAGCAGCCCTGTTAATTAATTATTAAATTATAATTAATTAGTATTAGATATTTTGGCAGAAATTATTTCTTATTTAAAATAGACTTAACATTTCAAAATATTAATATTGTTTATACTTTTTACCCAAAATACCAATTAATGAAACGTATATAATAGTCACACACACATGTAAGAATGTCTTACAGTTAAATATCTTGGATGTTTTCGTACCTATGTTGCAGAGAAAAATTCAAAGTTTTTTTTAAAAATATTATTGAGATTTTAACCATAAAATTTTTCAGACTTCAAGTTTGTTGCATCCTGTTACTATAATGAAGTTGTATTTCTACTATAATGGGGTTCTATGATTTCATTCTAATAGATGAATATTTTGTTTATAACGTAATTACAAATCGTGTATGTTAATACGCATTTTTATAATGATAATCTAAGTAAATATAAATAAAATAACAAATTATTCAGCTAATATAGCTTTTCAAACCGTGGTCGAAATTTTAAAATCTGAATAGCATTAAAAATAATATGAAATAAAACGGAATTTATAACGAAAATTGTTCGAAAAAAAAATTACTAATTGGTAGTATTACTTAATTCCAACTATAATTAGGCCAGTTTGAGATATATGTAATATATTACAATACCAGCTCATAACAGAAAATGTACGCATGATATTAAATTAGCTAAGATCTTGTAATGATACTGACTAAAAACTTTATTCATGGTTAAAGAAAAGATATTAAATGAGAAAAATATAGTATATAGCAATTTCTCGACCGTAAAATTTTACTATGGACCTCAAAGGGACTTAAAATATTCCTAGCTTAAGATAATATGTTATTTTGAATTATGCTAGGCAAAAAATAAACAATCCAAGCTATAAAAATGTAATTGATTCAAATGAATTAGCACGTCTTTTTCATAAGATATATCCAAAAACTATCACAACGTTAAAAACTTAACTACAAATTAATGAAACCAATTTAATTAACTAACATGAAATCAATTAAAAAAAATTTTAACTCCATAAATTCAGAGTTAATAGTAATAATTCGATAAATAACACTCAATAGCGAAATTATAGATTATAACAAATAAAATAGTGAAACATAAACATTTTTTAAATTTCTTTTCAAGCTAATTACTAATGAATAAAAATTACTGATGATTAAAAATTTTTTAAAAAATCTTCTTTAAATTATTAGTAGCAACGTTCAATTTTATTAACTGATTTTGAATTCAAACATTTACTTCGTTAATAGATCGTAAAAATAATCGCCATTCCATATTACCGATTTCACAAGTAATGCTAAAGCTGAGAATCATTGGCAAAAATTAATACAGATAGCGTATAATAACAACAGATAGCGTAGTATAACATATATTAAACAGATAGCGTAGTGATACTGTAAGAAGTCTCTGATTACGGAGGGGGAAAAAAACTCCAATAAAAATACAAATTTACGAGGTATTTTAATTCGAAATTCTCACACTAAAATACGAGCTACGTTGTTTTAATTTTGGTAAATGAATATGAGCTACTAGAAATTGATTGCGTATTTACACTGAAAAACTATAGCAAATACTCATCTTTTCTCTAAGATGTGGCTTTAATTTAGAAATATATACTCTCTGGAGCCAAAGCACAAAAAATAACTTCAATTAACTGAAGAACTGTATCTTAGTTAACGTCTTTTTAAACTACAAAACGAACTGTATTGATTCAATTAAAGAGTTCCATAAATAAAGTAATATTGAACAAAGAGAAAAGGCATCACTTAAAACATTTTTTGGATTGTTTGCTTTTGGCATGAATTTTATATTTAGCAAATGGTAACGATTGTTTAATTTTCAAATTATTTAATATTCGAAAAAAGTATTTTGATAATTAATTAAAAAAAAACTCAAAATATAAACTAAAAAGGAACGTATTTAACAGAACAGAATTAATTAGTATTTAACAGTTAACAGAATTTAGATATCAGGAAGAAATATGAAAAAATGAATGAAAGTTAAAATTAAAGATAGACATATGCCTTCCGTTCATTTTTATTTACATAGTTAGTAATAAAAAGGAATAAAAATTATTCCTTTGGAATAAGATTAATATTCATTTAAAAGTTTCATAAAACGAAAATACGGAGACTGACAACGAGATAGATATGTTTCAGTCTGAAAAAAACAACAACCTGTTGTTGGTGGATGCGTGTAGTTATTTTTCCATTCCCCCACTAACACATCTTTTCTCTTCAGCCTACAGCATCCCAAAAAACCTGTTTTCTTTCTTCTGGTTTCTCTTTCATCGGTGACTTCCAGGCAAAAAGAAGCCGGTCGCTGATGATGCAAAACCACTCTCGCTTGACAACACTAACACAGAAATATTATCTAAATCTCAAGAAACGGAATAATCCTTCATAATGTAACACCGATTTCGCAAATGATGCATGGAGCTAACGCTCAAGTTTAAAAAAATTAATAAAACGATTTCAACAGAAATCTACTGTTTGAAAAAAAAAAAATTAAATCGTTTGCGTTCGTGTAGAAAAAAGAAATTATATACTATCTAAGTGATTTATGTTCAATCTACAAAAATAAGCGTTCTCAATCTAAAATAATATAATTGCTATTTTATTATTTGATTTATTTTATCTATATTTGGTTTAAAAAATGTCAAAGATAATTCATAGATACAGATATTGGAACACTTGAATGGTTTTCTACAAAAAACTATTCTAAGAAATATAATTTATAATATAATATTTGATTCTTAACACGCTTTGTAAAATGCATAAACATAACAATCCGAAAACAAGTAATGTTAAACGCAATTTACTAAACACATATCTGTCCGCAGTATTATTTGCACAAGCAGTGAGCTAATGTCGGCATTTTAAATTAATTAATAATTTACTGCAACATGCACTCGACGAACTTTCGACATTTGACCACTTGCCAGTGGATTGATGCCTCTTCTTCCTATGAACCGATAAGTGTTAACATTTATTTGGTCCTTTGATTTTCAGCCAAGATTTGTTTAGCATCTTTGCATAACATTTTATCAGTAAATAAAATTCATAGCATAAGATATTCATCGATTTCTAAAAAGGCTAGTTAATTAACTCAATACAAAACATTATGAAACTAAATTATGATTTTTTAAAACAGTTGGTTTCGTTTCGATAAATTTGTAAAACTTATACCTAAAATTTTAAAACTAAACGAGAACTAACATGCTAACAAAAACAAGGAATGAGAGATCAAATAATACAAGAAATTAGATCCAAATTAATAAATACACTTAAGATGGACGGAGATGTAAAATAAAGTTAAAAAATAATTTTTACAATTTCAAAACAAAAAAATACATCAAAAATAATATTAAGCTCTTCCTTCAAACAATTATTTAATTTTCAGATTCCATTGAAAAAATATTTTTTATCAGAGGAAGGAAAATAATAAATAGAATTATTTAATTAGTAACATTTAATAAAAAAAGATACGCACCTGTGCACGATCAATGCAATTTAACGTCATGATAAGTCTATCCAAAATATAATATCACACTTTCCTCAAAAATTTTAAATAAAAGAGCGATAATTTTAGTTAATCACAGAATATCACACCCACTAAATTGATCAACAACTCTGTAGGTTGGGGAGGACGCTCTTTTTAAAATATTGTAATAGATTAAGCATCTAATATAGAAGCTTTAAACTCTGGCACTAGTTTCTTGATTAAAAGGCACTGTAATTATAAGAGGTAAATTTTACATGTACAAAATCACCATCACAGCCATATTGTCTCGGTGTTTTGAGAGTAGCCACCACCACAAGTTATCGTCGCTCTCACACAGCATCGAGTGCGAACCGTTATTCCTCTGGGAGCAACTTTTCTAGCTCCTGCGATGAGCCTTATCGATGGAAACGTCATCAAATGTGGGAGGAGTTTAGAATTGATCGTCCAATCAGAGTTCAGTAAATTTTTTTTATTTATTTGGACGTAGCTGATAAAACATGGAAAGTTACTTATTTTCACTGAGCAGAAAGAAGTTAAAGAGAGATTTTCAAACGACTAGATTCTTCATCGAGTCCAGATTTCATTCCCTTGGAACAATTTTTTTTTTTTAAATTTGATAAATAATATTTTTTATCAAATTATTGTGTGCATTAATATTTAAGAATAAGATAAAGCAACAAAATAAAAGATGCTTAAGCTCAAAATTTTAATTTTTTACAGATTTATTTTTCCGTGAAGGCAAGCTGCGGTCAACAGCTAGTATATAGTAAATATAAATAAATTTTAAGATTAAAGTTAGTTTTGTAAAAGGAATGATTAAAAAAAATTTTTAAACTTATCATCATTATTTTAATATTATTATTAATAATAATTATATTATTATTTTCTATAATAGAATGTATATTGCAATTTGTCTTTTTTTCTACACTGTTATTTAAGAGTGTGAGAAATCGATGAAATTATAGATTATAGGCTACTTTAATTAATCTAATCGTATCAATCTAATTTTTTTTTCCTTATTTATCTAACTATTTCTCAAGGCATTGTTGTGGATGTAAATGAAGTTGATGATAAAAAAAAGTAATTTTGTAGAAAGTAATTTTCACTTCAAAATGTTTTCGCTTAGTTAAGAAAAAATATGTAAAGAACGCAATAAATAAATAAATAATGGAAAATCCTAATAAACTTCGATTTAATCATCAAATCATCAGAATATTACGTGCTGGGAGTCAATCTTTTTGATTCGAGGGCTTTACTTTAACGCTGTTTTTTAAAGCCCTGTCGACAAGAAAAAAGAAAGAAAAAAAAAACATTAAGTGCTTTACACTAGAAGCAATGCGAAAATTTTAAATTATATAAATAATTTTGCCGTGAAGAATTATCTGGGCTTTAAAAAAGACAAATGACTTAAATATTTTATTAGTTATAAATTTTTTTCTAAAAATCACCAATTTGGCGACATTTTTACACCTAGTGAAAATTATCAAAATCACTGCCTTATCGTCAGGTTTTGCAAATTTTTATGAGCCCAGGTAATGCAGCATTGGAGTAAGTTTTTAAAAAATTAGTCCGCAAACGCTTTCCATTTTCACAAAACTTTGACTTTTTTCCTCAATATTGACGTTTAGCGCCATTTTCACTATAAGCGTTGACAGCTAGCACTGTCTTGAGATAAGCTAAACTTGACCTAACAATAATAAATAACAGTTGCAAACTCACAACTGTTATGAAAATAGCATATTACTCGCAAATAAAGTTATCATTTGATATTACGACGTAGCCTTACAAAAAAAACCTTAAATATGTTAATTAATTAAAGCAGACGTTATTTTAAGTTGCAAAATCAGACACATACTTTTTCTAAATAAACAGTTTTTTTTTTTCCTTCTTTTTTTTATGAATTTAGATTTTTGACCCTGAAACTAGGGGGATAGCCACAGCTTGGAAAATATGATACCAAAAATTTCGACGGGAGAGCAGACGAAAGTTTAGACTCCCTAATGTTAATTTTACTTTTTTGCGTATTTCGCTGTATCTCAAAAACTTTTTAAGAGAATGAAACATTTTTGCTCACAATTATATGATTCGTTTTTTCAAAAACAATTCCATGTAAAAAAAAAGAAGATTTTTTTAATAATTATCCCTTGTTTTTTTTACTGATTTTTTTTAACAACAATCGAAAAAAAATTTGGAATTCGAAAGATATACAAATTTTTGCATTATTTTTAAAAAATGTCAGTTCAAATGACAAAATATAAAATTTGCATGAAATCGGGAAAATAGTTTTCAAGAAATCAAATTTTAAATATACCACCTTTTTAAAATTTTGATAACTCAGCATTTACAAGTTGTTAAATTTTTTATGTAAATCGATTGAAATCTGTTGAGTTAGCGAATTTTTGCTCTTTTTTAATGATCTATATATTTATTTTGCATTACATGATTTCTCTTAAAGAAAAAATAATAATAAATGTTAAAAGAGAGAAAATTGTGATAGCATTATTGTGATCACTAATTATCTATTGATCACGTACATTTTTTTCCTTCCTTTTATAGACTTTCATAAACGCCCTAACATTTCAAGTCATGAGATGCAAAAACTGCATCATAAAATTTATGTCCTCTTGTCTCCAATGGGCTAGATTGGTTTCTAATTCCAGATAATATGCATTTCTTAAAACGTCATAATATTCTTTTCCTTCTTCAGTATTCCTATTTATATTAAAATTACCGCCAAGACAGTAATTATAAATAAGTTAATCGTTAAAAGAATATTGTAAATTAATCTTGTGTAAAAATATTAAAAATACTAACTGGCGAAAATAAAAACGACAGTCCTTAAAAGCAATCAACTCCAAGAAGTTCCAAAATTATCGTCTGCTTCTTTTTTTATCTATTTTTTATTAATGCTTATGTTAGCCTGATTTTTATGACTTTGACAACTCTTTATTTGTGCACATGGTGTTGATCTAGTCTATGAAGTTGATCCGATCGAAGAGCGTGGGCTCATGAAAAACCTAGAATGACGCTCATTTTCCCAATAGATGAAAACAATTTTTTCGAGCGTTAGTTAAAGAATGGTGAATTGTATAAAAAAGATTGTTGTAAAAGAATGATGGCGATGAAAGAAAAGATTTGACCTTAGAAAATGGAATTTCTTTCATTAAAGAACAAGACAGAAAATTAAATTAAGGGTCTCATCCTATTAATCTCATAAACAATCATAATAAATTCATAAACAAGCGCTGTTGTTGCTCACTGCAAAATGAAAATGCAATGTTGATTACTAGATGTTCGATGTCACGTACTCAGATTTCGTGTGATATGAAAATTGTGTTATTTTAGGATTACAATGGAAATGTTACGTTTTTTGTTTTAGTTTTGTTAGTGTCGCTCTGTTATTGCCATATTCATTACTATCTACGTTTTCAATTCTTATCACTAAGGACTTTATATAAATTCCATTTATAATTCAGGAATTGAGTACTTGCATTTCCAGAGAATAAGATAACTTAGTGGAGAAACTCAGCTGAACCTTAGTCAGCAATATCCAGAATATTAACTCGCCATCTTGTTTATAAACAGCCAACTGAGGCTGAGGTCATACGTCAGATGTCTGTGTATCAGTGATCTACTTCTTCTGGAGTTGCAAATACCCAATTGTACATATATTTAAACTTAGTTTATAACTTAAAATATTTAAACTTAGGAATACAGAATGTGCGACTTGATAACAGGTAATTTTAATTACCATTATAATACATAAATTATATCTCTTTATCCTTTACCTTTATATCCTTTACGCTTATAATCCTTTAAAAATACATAACGTGACCTTGTACCTTTTAACAGTTCATTTGGAAACTGTTTTTATTCGTGTGAACTATTTTATATTTTGAAAAATTTCGGTATCAATGTTAAGATTAATATCTGGCAACCTATAATCTTTTTGACTTTTTTGACCTATAATCTTTTTGACTCTTTTTTCATTTCTCCATTTTTTTTTTTTTTTTTTTTTTTTTTTTTTTTTTTTTTTTTTTTTTTTGAAGTTTAAAAAATGAAAATCTGGAGAGAAAGAAATAAAAATTTCTACAGCAACGAATAAATAATCATTATTTAAGAGGAAAAAAGTGAAAAAGAAATCTAGGAAAAATATTTAAAAATTGCAATAATTTCGATCTAATAAGAATTTTTAAGAAAAAATAAAAATCGCATTAAATTCGTAAATAAAAATGGTTCTTGCAGCACGCTAAATTTTAACTCCCTAGTTACATTTCAGCTGCCTTCAAATTTTAATTAATCCTAAAACTTATAATCGAATGTTTTTTGTTTTTTTTCCTCGAAGCTTTTGTCCTATTTTCTACACACCCTCGTGATTTCAAACTTTAAGTCGTTTAGATTTTGTGCAGCAAAGCAGATTGTAATGTAAATAAATAAATAAATAAAATAGAAAATGCGATAAAGACATTTCAACTTTCGAACAAAATAGAATTTTTAAAAAGAAATGATTTCAAAATTTTTGATGGAACAACCCCTCATTTGCGTTACATGCAGAAGATAACCACGAAAACCTCTCACTGGTTAGCCTGACAATAAGGGGACTCTAACCCATTATCCGTCTATCAATGAGGATATTTTTAGGTCAGCACTGGGTCGGTGCAAGCCGGTTTCCTGCTTTATATTAATTTTATAACCGTCGTTGAACAGCCGGCCCAATTTTTGGGTTCACGGCTACTAATGCTCAACTCCGTAACCTTGTAATTTTGAACCCAACCCAGAAGAACTTCTGGATCAAGTATTGGGAGCCTTCGTGGAGGACTTTTTGATGGAACTAACCGGCATTTGCGGTACATGGAGAGGAAGACCACGAGAACATCCCATGGTTAACCATGGCAAAGGGATTCTAACCCGTGATCCGTCTACCGCTGAGGATATTTCCCGTCAGCACTGTGATCGGTGCAAGCCGGATGCGGAATTCGTATCGACCAGCCATCGCTGGGATTCGAACCCGGTTCTGTTGCATAAAATGATCTCAGAGGATTTATTTTACTACCAGGAAGTATGGTTTTTGAGAACTGAATCTCTCATCGCTTGCATCTTTTCAAGATCTAAATATTAATTGAATATTAATGTCTTATTTTATGTTTTATTACTCTTCGCTTTTCAAGATTTCACTTACTCTTTGTGTATCTTCAACTGAGGGAGAAGCCTTCCTCACTGCTTGTAAAAATGTTTTATCAAAATGCATCATTAAATTTCTATATTGCTTAAAACGATGATTCTTCAATGATGCTAGGTTAACTCATTCACAAATTAATCAATTTCAAAGAATTTGTTTTCAGCCATTCATCGTACTCATCGCCTTGAAAATGCAAGATTTAC